GGGGACAGGAGGGGGGGGGGGGGGCAAAAAGGAGATACAGGGTCAGAAAGTGCGAAGAGAGAGATAGAGTGCGCGCGCGCGTGTGTGTGTGTGTGTGTGTGTGTGTGTGCGTGAAGAGCATGTGCAGGGAGGACGCACCCTCGACCACGGCCAAAATGCCAGTGTTAATGTCATCTACCTCCAGTTCGGACAAGCTATTCAGGTGCCCAAGGCAGTGGTCCAGTGCGGCCGGCACCGCGGTGGCCACCTTCCCCAGGCCGTTGAGGGCCGCGGTGACGATGCTCTTTTTGGGGTCCAGAGCATATTGACTGAAGGCAGGCTCAGCCAAAGGGAGGGGGGGGGGCGGGAAGGAGGGGGGGAGCGAGGGCGACAGTCAGAGGGGGGGGGGAAGAGGCGCAGTCGCACGCGAATGGGCATGCATCGAGCAGGCAGAAGGAGGGACAGGGAGAGCAGCAGAGAAAGAGCCAAGCAGAGCCGGGCAAAGGCCCTGGCAGCCGGGGGATGACTCTACCTCAGTTCATCGACGATGATGCCATAGTTGGTGGCGGTGGCCGACTGTGCCAGGAGGGCGATCTTCTGGCAGCGGAGGAAAGTCGACTCGTTGTACTTAAGGAAGAACACCCGGAAGTCGCGCTCCATCAGGGCGGGCCAGCGGCGCATGAGCATTCGCAAGTGCTGATTAATGATGTAGATCAGCTCCGGGCAGTTGGCCGACATCAGGGTGACCAGAGAGTCTAATGTGTGTGTGTGTGTGTGTGCGCGCGTGAGGGAGAGAGAGAGAGAGAGAGAGAAAGGGAGGGAGGGAAGGATGGGAGGGATGGCGGTCAGGTCGGCATGCAAGGAGATGCTAGCTCGGGAGGGGGGAAAGAAAAAGAAAGGCCGACTGGCCTGGTGGCAAACAAACCCTTCAGACGTGTGGACACATCGGCATGCAGCTCCGGGAAGTTTTCCGTATACAGGATGAAGAGCTTGGCGCAGGCGAGCACGACGCCGGAGTTGGTGTGCTTCAGGTTGCCGTCGATGACATTCTGGAGGCCATGAAAAGCGGGGAAGCCGGCGCGGAGGATCAGTCAGGCAAAGACCATGTGGGGACACATTGGCATCTGGGGAAGAGCACGCACCAGGACGTCGAATAGCTCGTCCTCATTCCTGGGCAGGAAGTGCCGCGCCAGAGCGGTGAGGACCGTATGCATGCCCCACTCATTGAATGTCGGCAGCCGGGCGAGCAGCAGCTGGACCACCTCGGCGGAGCTGAGCTCTGGGGCACCGGCATCGGCTTGGATCTCCTCCAGCGCAGTAAGGGCGCCCACTGGAGAAGTGTGTTAGAAGACGGGGGAGGGGGGGGGGGCGAGAGCGGACAGAGCGGGCAAGATGGGCATACCGACAACAAGGGGGTCCTTATCACGAAGCATGTGGAGCAAGGAGGGAATGATGGAATACTCTGCCAGGAGGGGAGAGGGGGGGGGGGGCGGGCAAGATTGGGGTGAGTGGATGGGCAAGGGTCGACAGAGAGAAGGCGACGGCCGGTGGATGTGGCCTTCTTCCTCCCCCCGCCCCGTCGGCAGCGTACCCTCCACCAGGTGGGGCGCCAGGTAGGAGATCTTGGCAGCGGCCAGGGCCGAGATCTTCCGGACATAGGAGCTGCTGTCGGCCATCAGCTGCTTGGCCACGGGGAAGACATATTCCGCCAAGGAGGGGATGCTGGAAAGGAGGGAGAGGTGGAAAGAGGCGGGGGAGGGATACCGGGGAGACACGGGTGGAACCCGGCATTAGAACGAGGGAAGGGGGCATTTGGCGGAGGAGATGAGCCCGGGAGACCAGCCGAAGGAGAGGTCTCGTACCGCAGGGAGCTCAAGCTGCGAAGGGCCAAGCCACGGACAATGGGGTTGCTATCGTGGCAGTCCTATGGGGTCGGGCAAAGTTGGCAGGTGAGCATGCGAGATGGCGGTCGATCGCCGGGGTGGGGACGGGCAGGGGGATCACACCGGGGTGTACCTTCTGCAGGGTGTTCACCACAAGCAGCGCAAGCTCCGAGTTGGAGTCCGCATAGTTGCACAGAAAGAGGTACACCAGCTTTCGCTGGATCATGCTCTGAGTGTTGGTGGCCTGGAGACGCGGGTTGTGGGGCAGCAGTTGGTTCATGTGCGAGAAGGGCATGGACGGGGGGGGGGAAGGAGTCAGTGGGAGGAGAAGAGAGGGGGAGGGGGGAGGGAGCGAAGAAGGAGGCATCCTGAAGGTGAGGGGAGGAAGAGCGCGCAGTCTGGTACGAACGATCACAAGCTCCGAGAAGAGGGACGACACATCGATGCCCTGGGTCATGTAGGAGATGGTTCGCTTGACATACTTCAGGTACTTCTCTGGGTCGCGCTGATTCTCTGGGCTGAAGCGGACAGGGGGTTAGCTTGGCCGATCGAGGGGGCTCCGGGGAGGGACAACTGACAAGCGGGCGGCGGGCGCACCTGCGCAACTGCAGGCGCAGCTGGTTGACCTCGCGGCTGTGATCCTGCAGGGTCATTGCCCGGCCGCTCATGGTGTTGTTTCCGAGCAGTAGGGAAAGCGGAGGGGGAAGGGGCGGGGGGAAGAGGGGCACAGCGAAAGGGGGAAGGAGAGCGGGAGGGGGGGCTGTCTTGCCTGTGGTGCCTGGCCACCAGCTCGCGGGGGACTTTTCACCTCCGGCTGTCCTCTTGTCGGAGGAGGGCTGCCAAGAAGGAGCGCCGGGGGCGCGCGCTTGCCAGCCTCCCGGCAGGCACCCGGGGCGGCCGGCAAACAGGGAGATTGGCCTGGCGCGTGCGATGGGGGCTTGTTTATTTTTCTGCCATGGCTTTTTCGCAGGACCTAAGCGTGGGCTGTCGCGCACGTGCGCCTCGCGCTGGGACGTGATTCGGATTTAAACCTGTCCTTTTGTCCTGCTTTGACCGAAACGGTTGGGCCCCGGCTCGCGGTGGTTGGCCGGGGCCGGGGTCGGAGCCGGAGCCGGAGCTGTGGGCGGGGGGCGGGGGGCGGGGGCGGCGAGGGGGGGGCGTCCACTTGTATTGGGCGGCGGGTGACAGGCTGCCTCGGCCCCATCCTTCCGTGGGGGGGGGGGGGGTTGCTGCCCATGCTCGCTGTCCAGGTGCGGAGGAGGCTGATTTGTGTGATCCGCGTCGCGGGGCCAGGCCCCGATTGGGAAAAGTAACGGACAGCCAACCAGCCAGCAGGGGGGGGGGGCGGGGACGCAGGGCGCTGGCAGTGGCGGGACTTTCCCGGGGCGCAACCCGGACAAAAATGAAATGCAGCCGCGGTCGGCAGCCATCGCCGTAGATCGCGCATGCTTGCCATTCACTCGGGAGGAGGCTCATGGCGGTTCACAACGGTCTCGCGCGCGCGCGCGCGCGTGTGTCTTGGTGAGCCTGTCCCTCCAGGGGGGAGGGCGCAAGGCGAGTGAGTGGGTGTTTGTGTTAACACCCACGGGCAGCCGGCAAGGCATGATTCGAGGGGAAGATCTGCCCCGGGGTGCATACCCAAGATCGAGGCCGGGCTGCAGCTCAGGAGCCAGGTGTGCTTTGGCATCCTGCGGGCGGGTGCCCATGCACCTCGTGGCGAATCCAAGTAAAAGCGGGGCGCTGATGTGTGTGTGTGTGTGCGTGTGCGCGCGCGCACGCATATATGTGTCTGTGGGTGGAGGCGGAGGCGTGAGGAACGGCCCAAGCCGGCCGAAGCGCGATCGGAACTCAAGACGCTGCGGGGGAACGGGGCGCCCCCTTCCGCCGGGGCTTCCGCACTCCGCTTCCCTACTCCAAACACTTGCTGCGCCCCTGTTCCTCTCCTTCTGTCCCTGCTCGCCCTTCCACCTCCCCCCTCCTTCTCCCGATCCCACCCTGCCGAGCGCCCCCCCCGATCCGTTTCCTGCCCCCCCCCCTCTCTCTCTCTGGTCCTTGCTGTCTGGGCCTCCCTTTGCCTGCCAACTCGACCCCGCTGGCTGAGCCTGCCTTCCCTCTTGTATTCGCCGGCCAGCCGCTCGGCAACTCCTTGTGCGCGTGTGCGTGTGTGTGTGTGTGTGTGTGTGTGTGCGCGCGCGCCTGTGACACACGCCCGGCTGGCGCATCTAGCGACCGGTTTCCCCTCCCCTTTCGTTCCAGCCTGCTTGCCGGAGGAGGGACCCCCCCCCCTGAAAGACCAAGCCTGCCATGACCTCAGCCGCCGCGCAGTCAAGCGAGCCGGAGCCGCGCCCGGCCATGGCCTCAATTCCCTCGGATTCCACCTCGCTGCCGTTGGCTGCAAGTCGTCCTCCGTTGCCTCCGTCGGCCGCCTCATCGAAGGGAGCCGGATCGGTGGGCGCTTCGCCGGCGGTCTTCCCCAACGGCGAGTCACTATCCGGCGGCGGGCCTGGGGCGCGCGCAAACAAGGAGCTATTTGTCGCCTCGACACCCAGCCGGACGCCACGCAGCGACCGGTCCTCCGCCGGGCCGATCTTGCCCGGGACTCCGGGCAGCAGCGGCGGTAGCAGCAACACCGGTGGCGGCACATACCCAGGGGGACAGCCCCCGGGCGGTGTCTTCCGCGATTGCCTTCCCTCCACGTTCGGGCTGTTTACCTCCACCGAGCCGGCCCCCCTGGAGCCCGGATCGCAGCCGCCCCACCTCGCCCTGGCCCATGTTCTCGGCCTGTCGGTTCGTACCGGGCCCTTGCCCTGCCCCTGCTAGCCGTCTCCCGGTGTCTGCCGCGAGCATGGCGGCGTGGCTGCCACCAGCCAATGCCTGTTCGTTCCTCACGCCATTTCCCTCCTCGCCTCCCCTCCCGCCGGTCGACCCTGAATGGCCCATGGACATGCGCCCCCTGAAGAAACGCATTCGCAAGCCCTTGTCCCGGCCGGCGGTCCGGCGCTGGGCCCGGTGCGAGTATTTCTACTCGCCGGTCGACTCGGTCATCTTCCAAGATGGCTTGAACTCCAATCGCGAGGCCATCTCCTCGACCATCGCCGACCAGCTGGCCTCGCATGGGGTGTTCGATGTGCGTGTCTGTGGGCTCCCGCCGCCGCCTCCCCTGTGGGAGATGTTACTTGTGTGTCCTCTGGCTGACTCGCCTCCTTTACGCCAGGTATCCAAACTGTCACCCGGACAGTGGCACACCCTCAAGCGCCGGTACCTGCGGCCGGCACGGCGCTTCTCCGACGCCTTCTTGCGCGAGGAGCTGACTCGGATCGGCCGCCTCCGGACCGCCATCTATGGCATCCAGTCTTCACATGGCCTGGTCCGTCTGCCGTATCGATGTCCTCCCCCGAATGCATCGCCCAGCTGACCGTTTCCGCCGCGCCTGGCCCTCCTCCTCCTCCTCCCCTCCCTTGAACTGCCTCCCACTGGGTCCTCTCCCTTGCCCATGGAAATGCCCATCCCCAGGTCCCGGATGACATCGATCCCGAGGTGGATGTCCCGCTTCAAGTCCCGGCGCATCTGGTCGTTGGGACCATTGTCAAAGGTGCGGGCGCGTGCGCGCGCTTGCGCGCGCGTGTGTGCTTGTGTGTGTGTGTGTGTGTGTGTGTGTGTGCTTGTGTGCACCTGTCCCCGGGTGCTGGCCATGCCGCGCCGCTGGGCGATTGAGGCTAACCTTGGCCACTTGCTTGTCCCTCCGGGCGGCAGTTCGCATCTATGAGTCCATGTCGCCGGCTTGGCTGGCACAGCTGGCCAGCCAGGCGGGCGGCTTCCTCCTTGGCCGGGTGGTGGCGGTCGATGTGGCGGCCGGTCGTTATTTGGTGCACTTCGTTGATCGCGCCGATGCCCTCTACTCGCCGCCACCATTGGCTGGCGCTTCGCAAGGCGGCGCCATCCTGTCGGTGGCCGAGCAGGACATCCTCGTACGTCATGTGCCCGCTCGGCCCGGCAACACCTTGAATGCTGGGCCGTCCGGTGTGGCACTCTCCTTGCCCCCCCCCGTCCCCCTGTGCTTGACACTGGCCCTGACCCCCAGTTGCTTTTCTCTCTCTCTCTCTCTCTCTCTGTGTGTGGGGGGGGCCTTCTTGCCATGATCAGCCTCTTCGGCCATCGGAAATGTTGGCCGTGTCTGTGGCCATTGACTCGGCGACCACGGCCACCGCGGCGGCGGTGGCCGCCGCCGCCGCCGCCGCCGCAACGGCCACCCCCGGTAGCACCGATGCGGGTGGCTTGCTTGTTGGGGGTGTGCCAACCGGGCTGCTGGGCCCCGGGACTGGGCTTCCGGCCGTGCCGCCGTCACCCCTGGCCGCCACTCCAACCGCCTCGCGGACATTCTCCTTCAGTCTCGGGGCCGAGTCGCCGGCTGCCGGGGCGGATCTCGTGACGCGACTCACAAGTACCCCCTCCTCCGGGACATCATTGCGTGCCACCACCCCGAGCGCCACCGGTGCCGGGGCTCCTCCATCGCCCTTTGCATATGGCCTGCGGACGCCCTCGCGCAGTGGCACCGCCCCGGCCCTGGCGGCCGCCGTGACAACCCCCCACCGGGCTTCCTTGTCGGCGTCGGCACTGACCGCGGCCGCGGCCGCGTCGCTGACATCGCCGCGTGGCTCGCGCGAGCCGCCCACCCCGCTTGGTATGTAGCCACGCATGCGAGTCCACATGCCAGCCTGGTCGCCATGCGCGCCCGCCAGCATGCCTATGCGAGGGCGAGAGGGCGAAAGAGACAGGGGGAAAATGGAACAGGAAGAAGAAGCCCTGGACGCCCTGCCCCCGCTGACTTGGTTCCCTCCCCCCCCCCTCCCCCCTCCCCTCAACCACTGCCGCTTGCTGTCCCCCCCCCCCCCCCCGCCCCCTCCTGCAGTGCCCCTCTCGCCAGCTCGGCCGGCGACGACGCACAAATTCCATGCCGTGCGTAGCTTGCTGAACTTGGAACGCCAGCTGCAGGTCAAGCGCGTGCTGCTGGATCACCTGGCCGAAATCAATCACCATGCGGCGGCCCGGCTGCGCAAGGCCCGTGCGGATGCCGGGCCCGGCGGCGCGTCCACAGCCATGGCACCAGCCGCCCCGCCGCATGAGTGGAGTCCCGACTTCCGGATGTACTATGCGCGCATTCTGGCCGCCCTGGCCTCCCTGGACTCGTCCATCAGTGCGGCTGCCCTGCAGGTGTCCAATCACCTCTGGCTGATGGACCGCCAGCGTGGGGTCAGCGCGGCGGCCGCGGCATTGATGGTGTGTCCCCCCCTTGCCGAGCCAGCCCCTCCGGCTCCCTTTCCACCTCCGCCGCGGCGTCCTCCGCCCCCTCCTCTCAGCGTCCATCTGCCCGGCCGGGCTGTGGGCTGTGTCTTGGTGCTTACTGACACTTCTCCGGGTCTCTTGCTGGGCCTCCCTCCCGCCCCCTCGGGAATGCTCCCAGCCACGCTCGGTTGACACGACATCCGACGCGGAGTTCGGGGAGCTCGGTGGCTTTGAGGACTTGGATCCGGAGGCCGTTCGTGCGTCGGATCAGGCTCTCTTCAAGTTCAGCCAGCTGGCCGCCAGCACCCGGGCAGCCGCCATTTATCGGGACCTGTGTGTGGCGCATACGTTCCGCTCGTCGGCCCTCCTGCGCCAAGCCATCGACACCTTGGGCCAAATCCTGGGCCCAGGGGCATTGGACCAGGCCCCGGCCGCGTCGATTGCCCCAGGCACTCCGGCCAGCCGGCATCCTGCGGGATCCCACCGGGGCCGCGATGTCGCCAGCCCCCAGACTGGCTCTGGCTCATCATCATCATCATCATCATCGACGGGCATGGCCATGGTCGGAAGTCCCTTCACACTGTCGCCGGGGTCGCCGGACATCGACCTGTCCAATCCACTGTCGCTTCTGGCCCGGGCCGCCATTCAGTCCCCGCCACAGCCATCGCTCGGTGTGGCCCCGGACACGGGGTCACCAGCATCTCCGGCCGGCCAAGTCCTCGGTGTGTCTGTGGGACCTTTGGCCCCTTGTTGGACACCTTGCCCCCCCCCCCCGCCCCCCCTCTCTCTCTCCCCCTCTCCCCCTCTCCCTCTTGCCTTGCATTTCCGGCTGACTTATCCTAACCCCTCCTCCTTTCGTGTGTCCCGCACAGCCGCCAGCAACCGGGACCCGACACAGGCCTTGCGATTTGTCCGCCTGGCCATTGAGTTCCTGCTGTCCATGCGGGCGGTGGCCGGTGCCCCTGCCCCGAGCATCCCCTTGTCGGCTCCGTCATCCACGCGCGAGGCGGCCCTGGCCAATGCCAAAAGTGCGTCCCTCTTCTCGGTGCTAGATGTGGCGGCTCGCGAAACCGGTCGCCTCATGGTGGCCAATCAGGCCGCAGCGGCATGCCCACCGACACCGGTCGGCGGGGTGGCGCCGCCGGTGGCAAGTACCGCCGGCGACCGGATAGCCGGCCTGTTGGCCGGGCCGCCGGGGTCCCTGACCGCCGCCGCGGTGCAGCCGGTCCCCGAGGACTCGATGTCCGACGTCGGCATCTTGGACCTAGATGCGACGAGCCTCGGCGCGACGGCTGCCTTCCAGGCCAGTGTCCTGTCCCTGGTGCAGGTGTACTCGGCCATCGCCGGGCAGGCATCGGCTCGGGAGGGCCCCTCGGCCGGCACGCCGGGCGAACTGGCTTCCGGTGGCGACCCCATCGGTGGCATGGAGTCCGGCCCGACACCCGAGCAGATGCACCACGCTTTGCAGGCTTTCAGCTCGGCGGTCCAGCGGACGGCCCAAACGTTGGGGATTTCCCTGGCGACGGTGGACTCGAAGTCCGGCCCACCGGGTCTTGGGCAGCTCCTGCCCGACGCCACGACCTTGCTTCCGGGCTTCCCGGCGCGGCCGAGCCTGGAGGTGGTTGCCGCCGCCGGGGGAGGTGACATTTTCGACCTGCTCGAGCCATCCATCGAGTGTCCGGTGGTCGTCGTGCGCGATGTGGATCTGCTCACCGGGCGCGGAGATGGACATGCCGCGCCTCCCATCGTGGGCACTTGCACGACACCGGTCGCCGGCGATGGGGGGACAGCCTCCCGCCGGGAGGGCCTGCCGACACAGAGCCCGCTCTTTCGCTGTGGCGACCAGGATGGCGGCGGCGGCGGCGGCGGCGGCGGCGGCGGCGGCGGCGGCGGCGGCGGCGGCGGCGGCGGTGGCGGTGGCGGCATCCTCAGCGCCAGCACCAGCACTCCCAACGCTGGAGACGCTGCTGGCGGCGGTGGCGTAGACCCTGGCACCGGGCCCGGGTCCAGGCCTGGGGTTGAGTCTGGTGGGAGAGCTGGGTCGAATGGTGGGTCTTCCACGGATCCGGAACCCGCGGAGGGGCTTCCCCCACCGGCCGAGGTGCTGTCCCTGCTGCCATTCCCCCCAACTGGGGAGCTGCTGGATGCCCGGCCGGCGAGCCCCTCCCCACAGGATGGTCCCCGGCGGCGGCGTCCTATTGAGGGCGATGAGTCGCCCACGTGTGCGATCAAGCGCCCGAAGACCGAGGCTCCTGGGTCCCTCTCGTCGACGTCCCTCCCGCGGGCCGAGTCGGCCGGGCTGGACTTGCTCTTCTCGGTGGCGGACTCGGTCTCCCAGGGGGACTTGCTGCTGGACTCGGCGGCGGGCCCGCGTCTGGAGAAGACGCCGCCCCTGGGCGAGGCAGGCTCCTCGTCAGGGCCACCGACGCCGTCGCTGCCTGTGGCAGGCTCCGTCGATGGCCCCGGGGTTGTCATCGCCGCCGCCGCCGCCACCGCCGCCGCCGCCGCCACTGCTGCTGCTCCTATGTCGGACAATGTGGCGGCGATGTTGGTTGATGAGTCGCTTCCGTCAACGCCGCTGGTTCGGCGGGTGGCAGTGACCCCCATCGGGGAGGCTGACGAGGGCGGCGCCAAGGAGGCGGGCCACGGCTTGGCGGCTGCGGGTGGTCCTCCTCCGCTGAAGGGTGATTGTGCGATGCGGGCAGCGGCAGCACCCCTGCCGGACACCGACGCCACGGTCAGCTCGACGGACTGACGCGTCGTCCCCCCGCTCCCTGGGGCCTGCCTCGGCCCTCGCACTCCGAGAGGCATATGCATGGGGGGAGCCTCATGTGTGTTTTATGTGTGCGCGCATGGGGTAGTACGAGCCCTCCGTGCTCCCTCGGTCCCTCGTGCAACAGCTCTGGGGCTGGACGTGTTTGCCCTTGCGCATGCGTGAACCTGGCGCGCTTCGCACCCAGGCACACGCGCACACACGCACCTATATAAATATGTTTATATTTATGAATACACACCCACTCTCTCTTTCTCGCGCACACACACACAGGCCAACATGCCTGGGTGCAACTGCTGCCCCCTCTGCGAGAGGCTGACTTGCTGCACATCCTCTAAGGTGCCAGGAGAACACACAGGCATTTTGCTTGAGGGGCGAGGGAAGAGGTGCATGCGCACCTAGGGGGACGCACCCACGCGATCGCGTGTGGCCCAAGCTGGGACGGGCGAGCGAGGGGGTGCGGTGAAAATGACAGGTCCTTGGGGAGGGAGGCGGCAAGGGGGGGGAGCAAGGGGTGCCAGGCCTGATTGTCCATCAATCGCCGCGGGTCGCCGGACCCCGGCCCGGCCCGGAAGGGACAAGCGCTGGCGGGTGGCAGGACCGATCGAGAACCACCTGCCAACGGAGACCTATTAACACCCTTGGCACGATCGCCCTGGCTGTGCACGCCACCTGCATGGTGGGCGGGGGGGGGGGGGAGCACAGGCGCGCGATGCCAGGAGACTCACTTCGACGGCCCACAGGCCGATATGACCGGCGTGGAATACGCCCCGCGATTTCCCCCCCCCCCCCCCCCCTGGCCGGTGGCCGCTGTCCGGTTAATCCGGCCCGTGCCCGGTCGCCGGCAATGACGCTTTTGAGCGCCTCGGCACCGAGGGGAGCGCCTGCACGCCAGCACCCGGCGCCGCGCCCCTCCCCCCTGTTCCACCCCCGGAAGGATCAGGCTGCGCCGAAGCCGGCACCCCGGGGAAGCCCGCGAGAGTCAGGGACTGGGCCGGCAAGAGCCAGCGAGATGGGGAAGACACTTGGGCGAGAAACTCCGGGTGCTTGCCCCCTGGGGGCCCTGTCATTTTCCGCGACACCGATCCCCCCCCCCCCTCCCCCCGCGCCCGGCCAAGGGGAGGGATGTTTAAATTTGGATCACCGGCCCCAGCTTCCGGCGGATCTCCCGTCGCCCCGGTCCCGGCGCCGGGAGCATACCGACCGTGTCTCTCTGTGCCGCGGGTGTGCTCGGGTGCGCATGCTCCTCCTCCTCCTCCTCCTCGGGCGCGCACAGCACACAGGCGGCCGGGCACCAGTTGGGGGTCACGATCCGGGTTTTTTTCCCGCTCCCCTCGGAGCGCCGGACTCCCCCGCCAGATCAGCCATTTCCCAGTCGGCCCAAAAGCCGCACCACCCTGCCCCCCCGCCCCCTCCTTCTTCCCTCTATTCCACTTTCCCTTCCTGCCTCCACCCACCCCCTCCCTCTCATCACTCCTCCTCCTCCTCCCTCTTTCTCTTTCATACCCGCTCCCCCCCCCCTCCCCGCCCGCTCTGAGCCCCACCTGGAGTAGGTCAGTCGCGGTGCCCCTCCCCCCTCTCCCCCCCCCCCCCCTCCCCTCCCCCGCTCGATCCGTTGTAGTCCGCGCTCGTCAGCCCCATCCATGGCAGTCGGCCGCCCGGCGCGCTGCTCGGGGCATTCACCATGTTGGCCAGACGCCGCTTTGCTGCTCTCGGCATCATCGTCCTCCTGTTCCTGGCCGGTGCGGCGATCATGATGTCCTTCTCAGGATCGCCAGGGCTGGACCTGGGGCCAGCATTCGCGCGTCACCCGGCCCCGGCGACCGCGGGCGATACTCCGCCGGTACGCGCATTCGCATGCCCCTTGGCCTGTGCTCACCCCTGCTGCCGCGACGCATGCGCCCTCCCTTTCCCCCTCTTTCTCCCTTCTTGCTCTCTCTCTCTCTCTCTCTCTCTCGCCTCCCCTTGAATGGTGATTCCTCTCTGACCACTGTTGCCCCCCCCCCCTTCCCCCCGCCCCCCCCCCCGCATAGCCTCGCTACGCCATCCTGATTGATGCCGGGTCCTCCGGCAGCCGGCTGATGCTCTACCGGGCCACCTTCCGCGAGGGCGAGCGCCTACCACGCACGGAGATTGTCATGGCCCCGGCTTCGGCCTTCCTGGAGCCGGTGGCCACTTCGTCTCCGGCGCCGACCGGCGGCGGTGGAAGCCCCACCGGCATTGGCGGCCAGGCGGACGACCTCCGACCGGTCTTTCTCAAAGTGGAGCCCGGCATCTCATCCTTCGCCGGGGCGCCGGCGCGCGATGTCGAGGCTTACTTGGCTCGCCTGCTGGTCCCGGCCCTGCGCCACATTGAGCCTGAGGCTGTGAGCGAGACGACTATCCAGTTTATGGTGCGTCTTGTGGACAATCCCCCCCCGCCCTTCTCCTCTCTCCCCCCCACCCCCCTGGGATCATCCCCTTGTCGGGCCTCTGCTAACGACCGGCCTCTTTGTCTCTCCTCCGGTCACGCGGGCGACATGCGTCGAAAAAAAAAAAACAACAACAACACCCAAACAGGCCACTGCCGGGATGCGGCTCATTCCGGATGAGCAGCGCGAAGGTATGTCCTCCTTTGCTTCCTGCCAACACCCTCCCCTCGGCCCCCACGGGCTTCTGACCTCGAGTTTTCTGTTGCCTCCTTTCCCCTTCCCTCGCCCCCCCCCCCCCCCCCCCCTCCCCAACAACCATCATGGGCACCGCCTGCCGGCACATTTCCAACAACTACGACTTCATCTTCGACTGTGCGCAGGATGTGCGGGTCATCAGCGGCGAGGAGGAGGCCCTCTTCGGCTGGGTGGCCGGCAATTACATCCTCAATGCATTGACCGAGGTGGATGCGGTCCGGTCGACCCCGGCCGGCCCCGGTGCTGACCGGTCTCCGCCTCCGGGGTCCCACACGCATGGCAATGTCCGCCATGGTGATGGCACGACCATGGGCTTCCTGGACCTGGGTGGCGCATCGACGCAGATCGCCTTCGAAGTTGATCGGGATGTGCGTTTACCTCTTCTCTCTTCTCTCTTCTCTCTCGGTCCCTCCCCTCCCCCTGGCCCAAGCCAGCCGAGACACCAACCCCATTGTCTGTCCGCCTCGTTGCCCGGAGCAGCTCGCCAAGCACCCGGGTGTGCGCCTGGTCGATCTGTCCTTCGGCATGGATCCGCCACTGGAGTTCCACATCTACACTGCCTCGCATCTGGGCCTCGGCGCCAATGCCGCTCGTGACCGCTACATGGCCGGGCTCGTCTCGGCGGCCGCCTCACGGGCTCTCGAGGCTGACCTCAATCCGGGCTTCGATCCGGAGTGGCCACAGGCACGCATGGGCAACCACCCGCACGCCGAAGTCCCCTCCGGCTTCACGGTCACCGACGCGTGTCTGCTGCGCGGTGCGTCTGAAGCCTCGGCTCGTTGTTCACCTGCTCGGGCTTGCTGACTGACCTTTCCTCCTCTCCCTGCCCTTCCTGGCTACATGTATGTATTTATGTATGCGCATTTTTACGGCTATATATATATATGTATGTGCGTTTAAATGTGTATGCACACATGCACATCCAGGCTTTTCCACGCAAGACAAGCATGGCAACACCTTCGAGGGTGCCGGTAGCCTGGACCAGTGCCTGCGCACCATCATCCAGCAGGACCTCATCAACAAGGGAACCCCCTGCGCCGGGGCCACCGGTCCCGGTGGGGCATCCCTCTCTCCGCGGTCCATCGCGGAGGGCCACTCGCTCGCCGAGCCTGGGTCTCCCTCCCTGTCGGAATTGGAAGCCATGCTGGATGGCAACATGCACGGTTCGTCGTCGTCCTCGTCCTCCACCCCCTCTTCCTCCTCCTCGTCGGGCTTGTTTGGGCGCCTCTCGAGCACCGTCAGCGCGACGCTCCATTCCCTCCAACGGTCGGCCACCGGCCGCCATGGGGCTCGGAATGAGGAGGCCGATGTGGAGGAGCAGGAGGCCGAGGACACCGGCATTCGGTCGGTGGCCCAGGCCTCCGGCCGGCCGGACCGCCGGACCCCGGCGAGCGGGGTCATCACCAGCGCCGCCGAGCGCTTCTGCCGGTTCAATGGTGTCCTGCATCCGCCCTTCAACACCGGGCCCATGAGCTTCGTGGCGGTGTCGGAGTTCTGGTACACCATGTACGATGTCTTCGGCCTGAGTGGGGCCTACGATGCGGGGACTCTCTTCCAGCATACGCGGGCCTATTGCGCGCGGCACCACCAGGACGTCATGGCCGACCATGAGGCCGGTGTCTTCCCCCGGGCAGACCGCATGCGCATTGAGACCGAATGCTTCAAGAGTGCCTGGGTCATGTCCCTGCTGCATGATGGGTATGGCTTTGGACGGGGCAATGCCGGGCCCGGGGCCGGGGCCGACTGGCCTTGGGCCGAGGCCTCCGGTGCGCATTCCCCCGCCAACAGCCCGCTGGCCCGGCAACACACGGACTCCAGTGTGTATGTGGTGAATTCCGTGGCCGGGACCGAGGTCAGCTGGACGCTCGGCGCCCTGGTGCTCGGCCTGGCGGGGAGCTTCTCCCCGGCCGGCCCGGGTGCGGCGGGGGAAAACCGCGAGGTGGCGAGCCCGGGTGGCGGCATGACCCCGGCGTCCGGGCTGCTGCTGGGGGCCGGCCTGTCGCTGGTGGTGCTGGCTGGCCTGGTGGCCCTGGTGGGCCGGATGCGTCGGCCCTCGCTCAGTGCTCGCCGGCGCCGGTACCAGCGCCCGGGCAGTGGCCCGGTGCCGAGCGCCTCGCTCGATGGGGGGCTTCTGTCCTCGGCCGGAGGCGGTGGGGGCTCCTTCGTCAAGATGACCAGCCTGTCTGGCGGCCTGTCGCCCGGCCTCAGTGCCTCCTCGTCGTCGGCCTCGTCGGACCAGGCCTCACCGGCTGTCACATCGCCGCTGCTGATGCAGCCGATGGGCGGCGCTGGCGGGCTTCGGTCCGGGTCGGACTTCGCTCCGCACATGTATCCCCCGGTGACGGCGCCCGGCACCTTTGCCCTTTCCGGTGGCGGGCCCACCGGCGGACAGCCCGCCTCCCAGCACCATCCCTTCGCCCTGGCAGGAGCCGTGGCCATGCCCTCTTCCGGGCCCTCGTCCGCCGGGACACCCTTCGAGTCTCCGCCATTGGCCTCGGCCGGGACGATGGCCAGCGGTACTGGCACCGGCGCCGCCGGCCACCTCCTGCTCTATCCCTTGCAGGCGGCTCCGAATGGCGGCGGCCCCGCCGGGGGTAGCAGCGCTGGCACCACCCTGGCCGGGTCTTTTCCGGGCATGGGTCCGCCGGCGTCCGGTATGATGACCTTCCCGGCTGTGGGCCAGTCGCACTTTGTCCCCCCCGGGCCCGGAGGTCGTAGCATGAGTGCCGGCGGGGCGGCCATGCTTGCCGGCACCCCGCCACACACTTTCGCCACCATGGGCTCGCCCAACACCGTGGGGCTGGGCGGCTCGCCGGTCCCACTCGGGGCCAATGGCCCCGGCGGTTCTGGCGCCCCTCCGCATCACTTCCCCCCTCAGCAATACCCGGCATACCAGCCCCCGGGGTCGGGACAGGGCGGCCCACCTGGGCGTGGCCGGTCCTTCTCGTAGAGAGGGCAAGGAGGGTGGGTGATGAGGGCCCCCCTTCGCGCTCCTCTCGCCCTCTTTGCATTTCTCCCGGGCTTCTTTTCCCCTCTCCCCATCCATCGACTTGGGGGGGGGTAATGCGCCCCTCCCGTCGCCGCAGTGCCGCAGGGGAACCCGCAAATGGCGTCCCCACGTTCCCTCTCCTTTCTTTCTCCTTCTTTCCCTCTTTCTCCCTCTCTCTCTCTCTCTCCCGCCGCATGAGTGCGGTCTGACGGAGAGCCAGTGAGCCTGGGCACGCAAGGGGCCAGGGGGGAATTCCTCCCCAAGGGCCAAGCCATTCGAGAGACAAGCGAGACGGAAGAGCGCGCCCTCATGGGACATCGAGGAAAAGGGAGAGGACGCGCATTTGTCACTCCACTCCGCCGCGCATTCACACATACCACCATTGTACATTATTTTACCAAATACATCCCAAGCATGAAGAAGTCTCCTCCTTTGCTGCCAACGCAAACCGCCATCCGCCCAGCGCGGAAGCAAGGAGGCAACCCCAGAGAGAGGGAGAGAGGCAGAGGGAGAGAGAACATGCGTGGGTTCGAATGCACACGGAGACCACACGCGGGCATGCACGCACGCGATCGGGCACGATCTCTGCTGCGGCTTTTCGGCCAGGCCACCCAACACACAGCCGGCCACGGGCCAACTCCCAGCCACCCCCCTTTCGCCCGATGTCCCTGCTTGCTGGTGCTCGTGTTGCACCTTCCTCCCTCCCCCAACCGCCCACTCTGCGCCTGTCTGTGTCTGCTCCGACCCCTTAGCTGAGCACACACACACACACACACACACACAGTTATACACGATGAGCCTCACGACGACCGGCTTGCTTGTCGGGCACAAGCAGAGCGTCACCTTCCTGGCGGCCCTGGACCCGGTGGCCACCAATGCCGACCTGGCCTCGGGCTCGGCCGACGGGACGGCCCTTCTGTGGGACCTGCGCAAGCCCGGCGCAGTGGGATGTCTGGCCCCCGGGCGCGGGCCGATCGAGGCACTCACCAGCAGCCAGTCATCGATTGTCCTATCGGTGGCCGACGCGCCGGAAGCCATGCTGGAGTACGATGTCCGGATGCCCGATCGGCCGATGGTCCAGCGCATGCCCTCACGCGTCTTGGCCTCGGCCGAGGGCGCCCCCCGGCGCGGGGCCCCGGCTCCGAGCAAGAAGGCCCGGGCCGCGGCGGCCGCGGCTGCTCCCGTCGGCTCGACCGCCGCCCGGGTGACCGCCGCCGCGCTGTCTCCCTCCGGCCGGCGTCTGGTCATTGGCGACGCGGATGGCCGGGTGCGGACGGTTCTCTGGCCAGAGGCCGGTCCGGACGCAACCCTGCGCCCGGCTCCGACTGCCCGGCTTCCCGACACCCTGGCCCCGAGCGCGGTCCCCTGGCGTCCGCTTCCGAATGCCCACTCTTCGGTGTGTTCATCGTCCCTCATTTCGCCCCCTCTCCCCTCCCATGCTGGTCCCTCCTCGATGGCGGCGCATGCATGTTTGCCTGTTCTTCACTGACCCGAGCTGCCGGTTCCCCCTCTCCCCTTGGGCCGCCTGACGTTAGCTCATCAGCTGCATCACTTTCCGCCCGACGAAGCCGGATATCGGTGCGTTGGGTCCCCTCGATCTTGCCTTTCAGCTGGGGATTCCGCGCTTCCCTGGCCACAGCCATAACTCACTCGGCTCGCCCTCTCCATGCTCTCCTCCCTCCGCGTGGTAGTTTTCACCGGCGGCCTTGATTCCACCATCACCATGTGGGCATGTGCCACGCGAAACCCGCTCCATGTCTGGCCGATGCGTACGACCCTTTCCCCGGTTGCCTTTTCCCGCATACCGCCATGAGGCCCATCCCCTCCCCCCCCCCCCCCCCCCCCCCTTTGGGCCTTCCTTGCTCTTTCCATTTCCCTCCCCCCCCCCCTGGCATCCATTCGCTAACACACGGGGAAATAGCGGACCTCCTGGGGCCCGGGGTCTTTGCCAACCCGAGCGTCAACCCGCCTGTGGTCAATGACATGGTGTGCTCGACTGATGGGCGCTTCCTGCTGGCGGCCCTCGGCAGTGGGGCCACGGCCGTCGTGGACTTGACGCCCTTCGAGGATGGCGCCGGGCCGGATGCTCCCTACGAGACCCCCTGTGTGGCTGGCCTTGTCGGGCACTCGTACAGTGTCAATTGTGTGGAGCTGGTCCCGCGTGGCGGCGGCAACGACCCCTCGGACTTCCTCATTGTGACCGCCTCGAATGATCGATCCTTGGCCGTGTGGCCGATCGGCCCGGCGGCGGCGCTTGCTTCGGACGGTGCACCGGCCGGCGCGTGCCAGGGCCCCGACAGCCAGATTGACAGCCGCCCCACCCTCTCGGCTCTGCCCTTCAGCCCGAATGCCTTGCTGGCAACCGGCGGCGGTGCTCGGCATCCCGGGTCTGGGGCTCGGCGCCCGGCCGGCGAATTTGTCCTCGCCGGTGCTGACACATTCATTCCGATCTTCCGCCTGGCCGAGTAGAGGCCTGGCCACATGTCTCACTTCACACCGATACATGGAAATGGGCAAGCAAACAAGCAAGAGAAAGGAATGGGGGCGTGGAGATGGGAGAGAGGGTGCCGATGGAGGAGGAGGGGGATCGAGAGAGGGCGAGAGGGGAAAGAGAGGGCGAGAGGGGAAAGAGAGGGCGAGAGGGGAAAGAGAGGGCGAGGGCGAGAGAGAGGAAAGAGAGGGCGAGAGCGAGAGAGGAAAGAGAGGGCGAGAGCGAGAGGGGAAAGAGAGGGCGAGAGAGAGAGAGAAAAAGAAAGAAAGAGAGCGAGAGAGAGCGAGAGCGAGAGAGAGAAAGAGAGAAACAAAGAGAGCGAGAGCAACAGCAAGAGCGAGAGCAACAGCAGGAACAAGAGCAACAGCAACACCAAGAGCAAGAGCAACAGCAAGAGCGAGAGAGAGAACCAGAAAAAAAGAAGTTGTAAGTCTATTGGTGGCTGCCATGCCACATGATCCAAATCGAAGACATCCGCGAGAAGGGAGGAGTAGACCCCGGGGCGAAGAGGACTAGCCCTCGGCCGGGGCATACTTGCCAAGCACGGCAAGGATGTCGGCCAGCAAACCCGGCAGGGAGGGCGACTTGTCCTCGCCAATGCGCAGGCGCTTGCGCCGGGGCAATTCATCGGCCGGCGAGCCCGAATCGGGTGGTGTGAATGTGAAGTCCGATCCCGGGGCCTCGGCCGCGGGATCTGGGTGAGGGCGCTTGGGTGCCAGGCGACCAGGCCGACCGGGGCCCGGCAGGTCGCGGGCCACCAACAGCACCTGACGGATCAGACCTCGGAGCAACTGCTCCCCGGGATCACCGGGTGATGCTGCCTGGGGGGAGGCCGAAGCATCGCCCGGGGTCGAGGCGGGGACCGCGGCAGCCATGTCCAACTGTCGGCGGGACTCGGCGGCCGCCGCAGCTACATGGGCCGCCGACCAGGGGGAGCCCGGAGCCTGACCGGTGGTGCCGGTGGCGGCCGCCGCCGCCGCCGCCAGAGCCTCGAGGGCCCGGACCGCCGGGACCCTTGTCGAATCGGCCACCGCCAGCCGGGCCAGCACAGCAGGCAGACGATGGAGGTGCATCGGGTCGGCCGAGTCGCCCAAGAGCGTCAAGTGGCCAGCCGCCACGCCCATCAGGAGATCCGTCAGGGCCGGTAGAAGGAGACCCGGCTCCGGGCCATCGGCTGCCAGCGCCGCGGCAAGTGGCCCCACCAGGTCTCGCCCAACGGCCAAGGGCCCGGCCGAGGCCGCGCCACCCTTCGGCCAAGTGGCCAGCACCATGCGCAGACACGCCAGCCCGAGGGCCAGCCGTCCAAGCTGCGCCGGACCCCCGGCGGGCGCTTCGGCCAGGGCCAGTCGAACGGCCTCGGCCACGGGACCCCAGGCACCGGGGCCTTCCTTCGGAGCAAAGCCCACCAACAGGTGCTCCAAGCGACCAAGGACCCCGAGTGCCGACGAGGGCGAGCCAGGTGCGACAGGTGGAGCGGCCAATTCGGCCGCCGCCAGCAATGCCTCGGCCACCGGCGTGGGTGGGCCGTTTGGCGGTCGGCTCCCGGCCGACAGCAAGGCCGCCTGACTTCGGAGGAAGGCCCAGTAACCGGCCATTGTGACGGAGGTGGTCCGGTACTGGACGGCCCGGAGCCCGGCCAATTGGGTCAGATGCCCGGCCAACAGTGTGCCCACTGGGCCTGGAGGATCGGCCACCAGGGCTCGGCGACAGGAAACCCAAATGCCCGCGGCCAGGCGGGACACCGCACACCGAGACACGCATGCCGGGAGGCTGTCCAGTGTCCTGGGCGCCGGGAGGACAGCCCGCCAGAGAGTCTGGCAGAAGGCCAGCACACCGGCAAGCCCGCCGATCTCACCGGCGCGGAAGCCGATGACCACCATGGCCTCGGCCAAGCGCTGGCCAAGAGAACCGGCCTCCGGGCCATCCGACGAGGAGCGGAGCAGCCGACGAAAGAGCCGCTCATCGGCCTGGTGCATTTGCCGGGCCAGGCCGAGGATCCGGCCGAGGAGGACATGCTCCATCCCCTCGGGCCCGGGGGCGGTGGCAGTCAGCGGCAGCGCGGATTTCGGACCCGGCGACTGCAGGGCCAGGCCGAGGGTCAGATCGAGGGCCTGAAGCAGGCACAGGCCGGAGACCGGGCCAATCGGCAACAGGGCATTCAGATGCCGGGCCAGCGCCAGACCCCCGGAGGCCGATGCCCTGGAACACTCGGTCGCCGGGGAGAGGAGCTCGCGAAGGAAGCCCGGCAGCCAGCGCCCGAAGACAAGCAACTCGGCCAGCACGCGCTCCTCCCACAGGAGCTGTGCATGTGCGGCCGCATGCAGGCAGAAACCGTCCGACGAGCAGGCAGGTACCGAAGGCGGAGGAACGGAAGCGTCCGGGGCCGGGGCCGGGGCCGGGGCCGCCGAGGACAGCGCCTCGCAGGGCAGGGCCCCGGCCAGGGGCAGGACCCAGCAAATGGGTGCCGCTCGAGCCAGGCGGCCAAAGTGTCCCATCACCTCGGCCTCCGGTGGGAGGAGGTCGACCACGAGGGCAGCGATGCCCGAGGGCCGGCGGGCCCGTCGAGCCAGTGCAAGCAACTCCGCGCCCAATTGCCGGAGCATGGCCAGGGCTCGGAGGAAATTGGCTTGCTGGCGGGCGGCCGGCCGGAAGGGACCCGAGTCGGTCGGGGACCCATCACACCCGAGCAGCCCCTTGGACGCCCTCTCCAGGAGAAGAGTCGCCGGCTGGAGATAATGCAGCAGGGTGGACCAGAGGCGATCGAGCAGGGCCCCGAGCAGATGCTCCGCCGCGGCGTCGGTGGCCGCATCCGGCACCCGACCGCCCGCCCGCCAGGCATCCAGACCGGCCAGCAGGAGCCCGGGAGTCTGCCACAGGAGCCCGGCCGAGGCCGGGTCTTTTTGGAAGAACCCGGCAGCGCGCTCGACAAAACCCATCAGCCCGAGGCACAATCCAGCAGGGAATGCAGGCGCCGCACCACCGGGGAGGAGGCCGGCCAACAGGGCGTCCAGCATCCGGGAGCCCCGGGACAGGGCCGGATCGGGGGCCCGGTCGGCCATGAGGACCGTGCACTGGGCCACGTAGGCAGACCATGCGCCGAAAGCCTCGAGGCACTTTTGCAGCAGGCGATTCGAGTGGGCCATCAGCTGGATGACCGCCGGGGAGGGCCGGCCGGGAGCGGCAGCCAGGCCGGCCAAGGCCTGCTCCACCGCCCGGCGCAAATGCAACGCAGCCAGGCCTTGACACATGGCCACGGCATTGCCAACCCGCGCCAGGAGGGGGCCTGGCACATCCGGGGCATCTGGCGCCGGGAGCACGGTCGACAGGCCTTCGATGGTCAGCTGAAAGTGCCCGGTGCAGAGAAGCATGGCCACCGAGGGCCCATGCAGGCTGGGGCCTTCAAAGAGGTCGCCATGGCTGTTGCCGCACTGCAGCGCCGAACTCTCAAGGAGGCTTGCAAAGAGCGAGAGGCAGGCTGCGCGAAAGCTGTGATGCCTCAGTCAGTAAAGTGAGGAGAGGAGGAGGGAGAAGGGGCGGGTGGGGGGG